GATAGCTCACATATGCACAAATGGCCCAACATTCGCAAATCAATAATCAAAATGTATCGTATGAAAATAATCTAATATCCATAATACAAGAATTATTTTAAAAATTCGAGTCCATCTTAGCAAAGCAAGCTCAACAAATCTCCAGCGTAATTAATATCATGACTGCTATAATGAAGAAACTATGAGTAATTTACTGTGAATTGTCTCCTGGAATGCCAACGGAATACTTCAACATCGAAGAGAGAAGTGTTTCTACATCAAGAAAATGTTGACATATTCTTAGTGTCTGAATCACATTTTACAGAAAGAATCTATCTGCGTATACCTAACTTCGACGTGTATTGCTAATATTTTGCTAATGAAGTAGTAATAATTATTACTACTTCATAGACAATAATGTTAATATTTGTAGTACAATAAGTTAAATTAGAAGCTATCGCTCAACCCATACTTGGCATCAATCATCCTAACACAGAAGTGGCTTTATATTCCACAGATATGTTAACTTCACCTATTTGAACGTAACGACCTACGAACGTAACGACCCTTTGGCAAAACTCCTTAATTTGTTACGGAAAATCAAGTAAAATGTTCATAATTTAAAGTTTCAATTTTCTCCGTTACACGCCATTTCTTCAACATAAGCAAGTATGACCTGTTGGTTTGACACTAGCTGACTAATGGAATAACATAAAATATTAAACAAGAATAAATATTTTACGTGTAAAACATTTGGTCTTAGAATATTACAAATATAAAAAATTGTAATCGTCAGCTGTATTTACCCGCTCTGGATAGTACACCAGCAAAACACCAGGTACAGAACTAAATCGTCTTTCTCCTTTTTAACATTAACACGCGTTGTTCTGTTCGCATGTCCTTACTTTTTGTACTAAGTAATGCTTTCATGTCATTGTCAGCTTCTTCTAATATTTCAACCGGAATACATTAATATTTTTCATTTTCAAATGTAATTATCAAACCCATATTATTGTCTAAGACCCTAAGGTGATCATAAATATACACTGCCAACTAAAAACTAAAATAAGGCCTTCTAAAATGTAAAAAAATAATATGGCGTCTTGTTAAAAACTAACATGGCGTCATAAGATACCTATGGTAAAGATATGATTGAATTTCTCAAAATTACAATTATTCTTTAATGGAAACGAAAAATATTGAATGTAACACGCGAATAAAGGGGTATAATTGCTCTCATGGAAAATAAGTAAAACACTCGCTCCTATCGTTCTTCGTTTTCTTGAACATACCGTTCATGCTATTATACTCCTCTTTATTCACTCGTTTCGGTAATTACTGTTATCATATGTACGCTCTTTACAGTCATTAGAATTTAGTGTACAAGCTAGTACTCACGGATCTTTATGTTTTCTTAGACATTGCGAGAGTAACCTTCACTACTAACTCTCTGTATCTTCTGTCTTCTTCCCGCTCACATAGTCGAAAAGGAATTTTAATACTGCAATGCTTTAGCTAAATTCTATTCTCACTGTAATAGTTCTCTCAGTTTTGACTGTCACTTCTCAAACGATGAATTGCACCATAAATACCTATTATCCTTTCTTACTATAATTCATCCTTTGTTTTCATTTAATTCTTTAGATAAAAAATAAATTTTCATTTATTTTCGACAAAAGATATGTACGCTGCAGAAAAGTAAAAATGCCTACAAAATATACAAGTTTTTATGTCTATAGACGAAGTTTCGAATCACATTTCCTAAGTTATTCCTTGTAGTTGGTCGGCAATTTCATTAGTAAAAGAGCCAGCCACAGGCCCTGAGTGTATTAGCTGTAATGCAGATGAGAATCGAGCAAGGAAACTGAATTAACTATAAGAACTTTTAATGGTATTGGGAGACAATGTCTAAAAACTTCGTTTGATTCTTAACCAAAGTTTCTAGTATCTCTGTTGTAACGTGACAGTATGAGTATTTTGCATTAACCCAAAAATCTTATGTGGGAGCGAAAATTACATGTATAAAGTATAAAAGCTGACTAACAAATTACGGAAGATTGTTGTACAGGTTCAATTCATTTGAAATGTATCATAAAATTATCGTTAATTATAACTTTTGTAATCATTATTTCATAAATTTGTTATAGGCTGAAAAAACATAGTTTCAAAATTGTTTGTGCAACTAAACAAAGTTGTAATATTTAAATTATTTTTTTTAATTTCCGCGATTATAATATACATTTTTGTACCATAATAAATGTAGTCGTACATGCATTCAACATATAAACACACAACTACAAGTTTAAATGGGGGAACTGAACAGTTTCTAAAACTAGATAAAGTGGTCAAATTATTCGAACGTACTGGCAAGAATTATAAGCGAATTCCATAAATTGTGATTACCTACTTATTTACTAAATTAAACAGTTAACCAAAGACAACGTACGTGTCGAACTTCGCGCCATATCTTTGATGTCATGGTAGAAGAGTGTTCATGCGCAAAGACAATAAACGGTCACAATTTGAAATAACCAATGAGCGAGTAGGTTCCGGAATCTGTAAGTCAATCAGGATGCTACCACGACAAAACTCAGCCATTTGTTGAACGATTGTGGAAAGGTTTTGAGTTCAGTTGCAGTTGTAGCAAGAAGACATCCGTGGCACTAGACAAGCAGTTAGTCGGCAGCTCGGGAAATGAAACAAAGAAGCTTTTTAAAAGAGCTCTAAGAAAGAGATAAAGATTATTATTAACATGATTACAATCGTGCTTGTAATACTGAATTTATGAAAATATAAATATTTTAAAGTTAAAGACTAGTTGTGGAAGATCTTTGGGATATTATGTTGAGTTAAGGATGAGCTACGAAGAAAATGAAGTTCCGAGTCAGCCCATCACAGCAAGAGTTCATCATGACTTAGTTTGCCTAAGAAATATTCACCCACTTCTGCGACGTCAGAGTCTCGGTGAGTATAAAAATATTATTTGACACGGTATACGAGTATTAAAATTAGTGTAATCACAACAGCACATACTTTCTAAATTTGCAATTCTTTCTAAATTTGCAATTTTCTAAAATTCAGAGAACTGAACGAAAATTAACCCTGCGCCATTTTTTAAGCGCCTCTGCTTTCATCGTGAAAAAATTTAAAGAAAAAAAAGTAGAGGATTTTTAGAAAATATTTTTTTAATTGCATTAATTTCAATCAGAAATTATGAATAAACGAGTAGTTTCTTCAGAAAATGTACAGATTTTGTTTAAGGGAAAATCTTGATCATAAACTTTGCAGTTTTGGAATGTTAACTTTTCCAGTTTTCGAAAATTCTGAGAGTTTACTTAAATGAGACTAGCACATTTTTACCGTTGGTACAAACGAAGATAAACGTTTGAAGAAAAGAAAAAAATTAAGCAGTTTTTCGAGAAAAAATTGCTTAACCAAATTTTAAAATTACCTGTATTTCATAGAATATTATGCGAAAACTAATGATACTTTCGAATAATTTGTACACCATCTGTACAAAATCTGTCTTCAATATTGTTGTTGTAGGAAGACGCTGAAAAACGTTTGAACGCATTTACGTTTTAAACAATCAGGGGTTTCTACGATACTGCACCATTCTCTTGAGCATCCTTGACACTATTCGGGGAAAAGTTTAATCCAAATATTTGGAACAATTTTTGATAAAACGCTTTTAAAGTATCATATGAAGTACCGCCCTAATTTAAATTAATCTGGAAATATCAATTTTAGAAAAATCGGCTAAACGATTTAGGCGCTAGCTTTGACCAGACAGACGAACGAATAGACGTTTGCCGTAAATCAATTTCATGGAATCAACGTTTTTTTGGTATCAATACCCCAAAATATGGATTCCGACTACACAACGTTGTCAGAATATACTATATGTAGGAACATGATTATCCATTTTTTCGTTATCAAATCCCGTTTATACGAGTGTTTCTGTCGAAAATTCGCTGCTTCTCGGCGCAGGATTACAATAGTTTCTCTTCTTACGAAGTGAGGGTGAGAATGTAAAAATAATGAAACATTTCGAGCGAACAGCCTCACCTTCTTCGCTGTTGGCGAAGGGAGGAATCAAGCCAATGTCAATTGGCGAATGGTATGAAGCCTCCAAGAAACGGTCGCGGAGTTGATTCAAAAGGAGGGAGATGTTCCTTGAACATAGCGAAACCTACGTGTTGTTCAATATCTTTCATTGAGAAAAGCCTGTTGATTAATTAAATTGATGAGTACAGTGTAGTATACAGGTTTTAGTTGAATTATATTAACGTTGCTTCCGTTAGAAATAATTGTTGATGGGTTGATAGATGTAACATTCAAAAACTTTGTGAAAGACCCATCTGCGCGAGTGGCGAGGTGTGGATGCCACCTTTATCCGCTTTACTCGCGCTTCTCCGAGGAATCAGGCCATCAGCTACCTAACGCATTACGCTCTCAGACACGCACACTAACCTTTTAAAACATAGGTCCTGTTAGCTGGTAGACTAAGGGGTTAAGAGTTATGTTAAGTTCTAGGTGCATTAAGTAAGCATAATACAGGACGCCAGGAAAGTATCTCCGCACCGAGCCGAGCAAGTTTCAGCATCTGTTTTGATTGCGATGAGTAGGCAATGAACATTTTCTTTTGTTACGTGACACAGCTAGTACTACCAACATAATTTCAGTTGCTAGCACACTCACCAACAAGGAGCCACTGCGGAAAGTCTTTCCCAGCGCACATGAATGAGACAGGGTCTCTGTTGCTGAAGAAAGCGTGCGCAGATTACACATCTGCCCCATGAGTCACATAGTTTTTTCTATTACTTGATGATAAATACATTTCAAAAAAGAAAAGAAAGTTTGCGTCCTAACCAGGTTAGCATTAGGGGAGATATTGACTGGCCTTTCATGGAGCGACACCCTGAGTGAGACTCCTGCCCTAGCGAAAGCCACTTGCCATGAATAGCGTGAAAGCCGCGGCTGGCGCAGCTGAGCGATGGCCGTGGGGCGGCGGTACTCACTGGTGTAGCGGAACGGGAAGCCGTCGGACCAGCGGAAGTCGCCCTCGTACATCACGTCGGAGGCGCCCACCCAGTAGGCGTTGTCGTCTCGGTAGCCGGGGCTGCAAAAGACGTCCAGAGTCATTTGTGCAAGGGACAAGAAATGTAGACGGCTCACGTTCGTTTTCAAGATCTCTCCCTCTGCTTCCTCTCTCGTCGCCCGTTCTTTCCCCTTTTCTCAACAATAGTAGCAACCACTCAACTTCCGCCACTGCGTCTCGGGGTGAGAATATGCGATCGTTATCTGCGAATAGAAACTGCACAGAGGACTTGAAGCGACCAGCCTAAATAAATAGCCTCGACTACAGTTTCTGTTGTGAGATGTGGGCTCTTTTGACTGGCATATACGAATATAGTGAGCCAGGAAATCTCTCCGCCCTCGGTTCAGTCAGAGTGTCCTATTAAAAATGACAATGATATTGGTAGCAGATTGAAGAGATTGCTGAGATAAAAGTGAAGGGGTCTACACTCCCAGCACCTGGTAAGATTTTAGTGAGTGCGGTATTTACGTTTTCTTTTGTCACACGCTGCTCCAAACCTATTTTTGTTGCAAGCACCAGGGTATGCCCCACTGCGGAGAGACTTTTCTGGCGCACTGTATGATAATATAATTTTTTGTATCTTATCTTTTATGACTTTTATTATCATCTTTCAAAACGTCTTCTTGCGACGTTTAACATATTTTCATCATTAAATAATGATGCAAATATTTATTTCAGTTTCAATAACTGCATTCGAGTAAGCAGTTCACATGTTCTTTTGTCAAGAACTGAGATGAGAATGCTCAAGGAAAAAACTGTCGTCACTGCAGAGATTCTAACTGTGACGCCCTGGAGGAATCCCCGACGGTGACAAATTTACGTCACTGGATAGCTAGGTCTAATTTAGCTGCTGTGCATGGTAGAATTGTTGTGACCTGCTGCTGTAATCGCTACTTATCCATCATTTCTCCGATTAATACCTGACTACTTCCGGAGCAGCAACCGAACAAACTTGGGACCGCACGCGCTCTTCCTCATTCGTGTCTCCTCCTCTCTCCTAACATTTACATTTTTATTTGCACGTACTACACATCACGTGGCAGGGGCCTAGAGCCTGTCCCAGTTGGGGCAGCTCCAGGTCCCCTCCAGGTCACCACCAGATATCGGACGAGTGGATACGTGAAGGTCAACGCTGGGTCTGATGTAGTGGAAAACGAATACTGGTTCATTCCGGTACGTGCGAGTGCTTCAAGGGGGGCAAGAATGAAGGAAAGATCGCGTGCGGTTCGTGCCCCTGTTAGAGTGTTGCTCCGGCATTCACCTGGTGGTAATCGGAGAAAGCATAGAAAGCTATCGATCGGTCACTAGAATTCCCCTGGCGGGAGAGGTGACTCGGAGCATCAACTGATGTCACTGCAGTGCCTCTGGCCGGGAGGTCCTAGGTTCGAGTCCCAAAGACGCACAGTGTGATGAAATCCCTAAAACGTTGTTAAAATTCAATATATTTTGCAAAATGCTAAGTAATGACTTATATTGGGGTTTTCGATTTCACTAAAGACGAATATGGTATCAAAAATGAAAAATTCAAAATGGCTGATTCCATATGGCGGATGATATTTGAAAAGACATGGAAGAATGCAACAAAAATAAGTATATTGGCGTTTTCGAGCTTACTGATTACAAATATAATATAAAAAATGAAAAATTGAAAATGGCGGATGACTTTTAGAAAAACGTGCAATAATGAAACAAAAATTACTATATTTGAATTTTCGATTACGAAATTGATACGTTTGAAAAAATAATATTTTAGACAGTTATTATTAAAAGTATTTGCAGTTAGATGCACTGCATGTTAAAAGTGTGACGATGCTCAAATGTTCAGATAAAAACCAAATACTTTCGTCTGTTGGCCTACAACTGTTGTTAAACCTAGATAACAAAGCCTAAAGTTTACCCCACCCCCTTCCCTTCACTCACATTTCTCAATTCCTGTGTAGCTTCACTGTGTGACTAGCCGATGAAATTCACGTATCGTTGTGCCCAGGCCTATTTCTGATATACACCATTTTAACAAATAGTATAAAATATTTAATAATATATCTTCTATACTATTTGATTTTAACACATCCAATAGACTACGCTTTTCTAATTACATCAGTTCCACGTTAGTGCTGTATTCGCTAATATAGTAAATAATAAATACAAAATACTTGTCTTCTAGCATTTAAGTTATGTTCTGAACATTTAACAATCATAATGGGACGATGGCGATCATATTAAAGATCGCCTGACGAGATTGTTCTGCGGAGTTTCTCAAACGCCATGTGTGGACAGCACAGAGCTAGTGTTTTCTGTGAGAGTCAAGTCATTTACGTATATCTATAAAACCCTTTAAAATATTTTATAATTACTTACGTGTTCAATCCATTAAATTTAGCGTTTCATTGTAAAAATTAGTTTTTCTTTATTGTTACCCAAAGTAGTCTCCATACCTTTGTAATAAAGCTTGGTACAGGGCGCCTTTGTAATTTAGGATTAATCTAACATGGTTCCCAATTAGTGAAATTTGCATTAAAATGAAATGGAAGATAGTAATGCTGACTAAAAAGTATTGTATGACACACGTGGTAAAAGTAGTTTTATATTTCTCGTAGGACTGCGTTACTCGGCCTCTCGGCCTCGTGTCACAATATCTCTTTCTCGCAAAATAAAATATAATGTTTACTACTCGTAATGTAAATAACTATTTTAGGTAGTCATTAGTAAGTTTGGTTTTTTCTCGATATCAAAATGCTATTTTTAATGTTCAATTCAACTGTGAATGCAACAAAGAAAACAAAAATCCTTTGTCTTACTGCTTCATAAGATTATAACAAACTATTGTTTAAGTTACGCAGTTAATGTTGGAAGAGAAAGTTGTAATTCAATATTTTTTAGTATGTTGTCCTTTATATGCTATTAATATCGATTTATATATTATATTTATGTATAAGGAGCGTACTTCATACTTTTAAATTAAGTTTAATAAAATTAGAGAAAAACAGGATTTTGCAGTTACCGCTATAAACATGACATTATCGGATTCGTGCATATTTGCATAATTTTATAGAATGATTGTGAAGTAAATATTATAGTTATCATCAATAAATTCAAATGAAAGTGGAATATTGTGTGATTTGTGACTTATTTATTTTTCATTCATTTTTAAATACATTTTCTTATTTGCCTCCACCAACATTCATTTTAAAAAACGAGTTCATTCAAACATTTTTTAAACAAAGTCTTTTAATTACGTACATACTTTCTAATAGCACGTTCCATTTTAAAATTTGAATGATTATTTGCACAGAACAAAAATATTTGGCTTCGACTCCACACTAAATTTTCCGCCAGGCTTAGATGGCGCCGTAAATCCCATAGAGCCCTTTGTTCAACCTGCAGCTTTCACTCGTAAGTTCTGGCCGTTCTTACGTACGGGATTTAGTAGTCCCATACAATAGTGTAGCCAATCTATCAGTTAAAAATGCTCAACTAGAAACATTTTTTTTCGAATTTTGGCCAGGTTTTAGATATTTTATTCCAATATGAGGTGGTGTGATTAGCTAGAAACATATTAGTTAGAAAGCTAGGTTGAATTCAGTAGCTGTCGGGGAGAATTGTACCGGCCGGTAGCTCTGATCGGTAGTTTTGGTGATTTCTCCGATTAATACCGATGCTGGAGCAGAACTCTGACAAACAGACCGTGAACCACGCGCGATCTTTCCTTCTTCTTCCTCATTCTAACCTCACACCTTACTTCGACACACTTAAATGCAGTACACTACCACATATGCCGCGAGACCTGTCAGGAGGTTGGAGCTCTGCCGCTGGTGGGAGATACCTTATTGGGGAATCCCCATTAGCGGACAGTCGGCGCAGGATCCCACCAACCAGCGGGGGGAGCTCACCGCCTCCTCTCACGGAAAACACATGCACTACACTAATGGGACGAATGGCCTTAGCCATTGACGCGCGCGGAACGATCCATTCTGACCTGTGCAGCAGCATGCTGTCGACGACGGCCTGCGTGTGCTCGCTGCGGATGGAGGCGAGGTGGCCGCCGCGCGCCGCGCACTCGGCCTCGGCGTCGGGCCACGACGCGCGCCGCTCGTCCACCACGGCCAGGCACAGCTGGCGCGCCGCCACCCACCCGAAGGCGCAGCCCTGCACCAGCTCCGCCACGGGCTGCGCGCGGTACCACAGGCGCAGCGCCGGCGCCGCCCCCGCGCCCGCGCCCGACGACGCCTACGCACGCGTTGCGCCATTGCGGGGCACCCTCTTCGGCTGCTTTGGGGCACGGTTGCGACAATTTTATAAAATACTATGACCGTGAACATTGGCTTTGGAAAAAATAATTAAAAACTACTATTAACTAAGTGGCAAATTTTTAATTCTTTTCGGCTGGTTTGACGGACGGTTATAACCATTTTAAAAAAATCAAGGGGGAGGTGCTATAACAACAAGTATATTCAAAAACCCATTGACCGAGAAAACTGATTTTGAAATTAAAAAACGAGTATTATGTGAGCGGCAAGGTTTAATTGCTATTAATTGAATAAATAAATAAATAAATAAATAAATAAATAAATAAATAAATAAATAAATAAATAAATAAATAAATAAATAAATAAATAAATAAATAAATAAATAAATAAATAAATAAATAAATAAATAAATAAATAAATAAATAAACAGTTTTTATTGGTTGCCAGGCTCAGGCCATTTCGCTTGCTCTTCTGCCTGACCACTCAAGTATCGTATTGTACTAGCGTTTGTACTTCATAAATACTATTTATGTTTTTGTAGAAGTGACACAATTTATTTTTACATGGTATTTTTTTCATAAAAGGTTGCCGATGCTGATGGGAGCGAGCATTTAATGAGAGCACCGCATGTTTGTGCGTGGAGGAGCAAGTGTTGTGGAACATTTAAGTTAGAAAGCAGCTAATAACTCTTTAATAAATATGTGGAGAGAAAAATTAATAAATAATATTACGAATTCGCTCGTATTCGTGAATAAATGGGAGTTAATGACTACGTGTTTCGTCGTATGATTCAAAATAATAGTATTAAAACTTTAATTGATTGTTTTTCTTTACTTACAGAAATGCATGTGACCCGGATATTTAGCTACCGATGATTTAAATAAGACTAGTTTGTTATTCAGCTCTCGGCAACTTAAAAAATGTATTCTATGTGTTAATAAAGTAAGCTGGTTCTGTACTTCTTCACCATTTATGGATGCAAATTAGTACTTCTCTTCATTATTTATTGATTAGAATGTGTTACAGCAAAGTGTATTATTTTATTCCGCAAAAAACCTCAACCCCAACCCCAACCCCAACCTCAATTCACCTCAAGGTCAGCGCGCATTCGCTAAGGCGCGCCTAGAATAGGTACTTTTTCCATTGTTTATTTAAATCGAAAGCTTAACCTATACATAGGCTCAACTGGCGGGTCACCGGGCAAGCCCGGCGACCAGGGGCTTAGAGCATTGCCTGCACTTTCAAGCTAAAGTCGCGAGTGCCGCCGTGAAAGTCAGGGTCAGGGTCTACATCTGTTCACCACGTACGCAGACCCGATGCCCCCTGCAGGGCTCGCGCGTACCTGTGAGCCCGCTCCGCCGCCGCCCGCCCCGCCGCCGCCCGCCGGCCGCGAGGCGCAGCGTGAGGGCGTTGCCGAGGGAGAGCACGGAGAGGTTGGCGCGGCGGCAGCTGCGCCGGGGAGCAGCGCGCGGCGACGCGCGGCCGTCCCCACAGGCGCGTCAGCACCCCGGCACGGCGGGTCCGGGTCCTACGGCGGGCCAGCGGCGCCCAGCCCCGCCCCGCCCCTGCTCCGCCCCGCCCTCCGGCCACCGTCTCCAGGCGCAGCAGCACGCGGTTGCCTACGGCAGGTATTCTTGAAGTGCAGTGCTCCCCGGCGTGAGTCCGTCAGCGTGGAGCGAGCTCCGCTGCGCCGTCGCGTCACGTGAAGCAGTAGTGCACGGTAGCTGTAGGGAAAGCCGAAGACGGGCCGGCCGTGACGTGGACGGCGGGGGCGGCGGCGGGGGCGCGGTGGGGGCGGAAGGACGCGGCGGGGGTGGGCGCGGAAGTGCAGGCGCCTCCGCGCCCGGGGGCAGCTCCTCCAGCTTCGCCGCAGAAGGGCTGCTGGCAGGGGGCGGCGGCCGGCAGCGCTGCGGCGGGGGGCCGCGGCGGGGCGGGGGCGGCGGCGAGCGCGGAAGCCGCCGCCGGGCGCAAGGGCGTGTTGAGCGCGCGTCAAGGTCCACGAACGAGCCCGCGCAGCGCGCGCCAACCGCCCCCGCCGGGAGCGCAAGGCGGCAGTCGGCGCGCCGGGCCGGCAGCTGGCGCCACGACACGTTGGCGCGCGCGGGCCACAGCTGCAGCTCGCACTCTGCAACAGCGACAAGCGCGGAGCCGCGCCGCCTCGTCAGGCACCGCATCTCATACTCCGATTTCAATACAGGAGCACTTCAAGGTCACGAGCTGGACGGAGAGGAGGACACTGTCATCTATTACGGTACTATTACTTTGTGGTTAGGCGGAAGAGCAGGCCCTATGGCCTGAGCCTCGCCATTAATAAAGACATTATTATTATTATTATTATTATTATTATTATTATTATTATTATTATTATTATTATTATTACGGATCTTCGTTACGACTTCAATTTTTGGTTTTAGAATCCCTAGTGGCACTTCAAAGCTACGCGTTGGACAGAGAGGACACTGTCATCCACTGGGGAGCTTCATTAGTACATATATGTTTGGTATTAGAGCCCTCGATTGAATGATCATGCCCCCTCTCCTTCCAGCTCGTGATCTTGAAGGAGTACAAATCTATACGTACACATTGTACAAATCTGAATATAGAATACACTTTTCTGTATCCATTATTGTATCGTAAATGTTCAGCCAACTCCAGCAAGATATAAACATGTTATTAAACTATTATTACTTGTTGTTTAAAGAGATGCTACCAAACAAATTTCGTATTAGACATATCCATAAGCAGTAAAAAATTAAAATCGATCAGGTCACAAAAAATGTGGTGACTACATTGTCACGTGGCGGTACCTTTCTGTAGTTTTCCGGACATGCAGTTTCAGTAAGTTTGGAGTAAGATAATCATACAAAAAATAATTTTCAAAATACAGCAACACCAATTACACGTTCCTATTTTTTCTGTATTCTTGATTCTGTGTGCCGACTCGCGACAAAAAATACAATAATATTAGCTAATACTTTCACAGCGTTAATTTTTATAATTTTAGATTTCTCCTTTATCATTTTAAATAAAAAACAATTAGAATTAGGCTCTTTTTGTAAAGCATTTGTTACTCTTTGCTATGCAAGCATAATAACATCAAGATATTATAAATTGACTACTTAAAGACAATTATAAAACCATACAACTGAAACGAAATAAATTGTCGATTCTACACAAAATGTTAAGAGTCCTGTGATCACACTGGATGTAATCTTCTATACTTACGCTATTATGAGAACGTGGTGTGCCTAAACAACTGTAACAAATAAGCAATAGAATATTGATTCTCCAGAAATGCAAAGAATCGGACACAAAATGAAGCACAGAATGAAGCACAGAAAATCAAATCTTCGATATTAACGCTGTTAGATTCTGATGCAGAGTGCCTAAAGACGAATATGACAAACATGAGATGCGTTCTTATTAAATATTTCTCCAAGGGTCGGCCCTTGATAATTGGGTCCTTCAGTGTCTCCCTAAAATTGTTTCTCTGATCCCACGAGAAGCGTGGATCCCAGGTCGAGAATCTATCATTGATAATAAAGAAATTGTTTAAAACGGAAACAAACGTAAATTTAGTATTGAAGGAGTTAACTTATCTTCTACTATATATTATACTAAATCATTAATAGGGGAGCTTAATTTCTTCATTCAATTTTTGATGGGTTATCTTTAGTTTTAAATAATTGATACCAGATTTTTTGTATTAGCAACATATGCACCGAATTCATATCGTGCGAAGTTGACGAGCGTTAAGCAAATCAGCAACCGACATCACTGACGTCCCTATCGTTGCAACTGATATTTTGCCCATTCCTTCAATGGAGAGTTGGTACGCCCGGACGTCAGCGGCCACCGTCACCACTCGCGCTCACACAACGTTCCTTCGAGACTGGCGCAAAAGGCTGCACTGCACTTGGCTCGTTCTAGTCGAGGGGACGCGAGAAAATGCCAAACGGTGGAATCGCACAAAAGGGGATCCACGGAGTCCATTGGGACCAACATTTTGGGATATTACTACTTTCATTCAAAACAATTACCTCGTATTCATCACACCACACCCAAACGTGAATTCCTGCTATGAATACACATGTTCACACCAAACTAGTGTTTTTAGCTATCTGTTTTCTTGCAAATGGCTCAGTTGCTCCACCAGTAGTATGGGGCCACCACATTGTCTTTCAAAGCTCAAGATTGCGAGTTCAAACCCGGTCGGCCTGCGGTGTATTTCTAAAGGGCGAGAGATGCAGTCTACCATGTGACAACGGTGGCGTGTCAAAGGGCTCTGGCTAGGTGAGGCAAAAAGAATGCCCCAGCCTTTCAGATCTCTTATTAGCTCAGTCAAAGATCGACACAAGTGGAAAAGGAGAAATGTGACTGAAATTATTAATGCGTCAAACCTTTACGATGGACATGGGAGTCAAAAAGAAGTTGAGTTCCCATGTTAAGAGAAATTTGAAAATCTTTAAAGATATAACCTATGTCCTAGGTTGATAATAGACAACAAGAGCGAGCTCGGGCACTAGAAATAACTAGAACAATAACAGTACAAGAACAACATACACAAAAGTTTTAACAAGGGCTGTACGGTGAGAAAATACGAAGTCATCTGAGAAATACGAAGACATCAAAATGCGCCGTTGACGCGAGAGCTAACTGATCGACAGTCTCCTTGACAGCACCCGCCCTCTCAACTGTTTTCAAAAGACCGGACTTGTGGAAGCGATTGAGGAGATGAGATACGAGTGGTTCACGGAGTGGAGCACTCAAAGACGAAAAAACAATATGGCGCTGTATACGAATGTTAATACACAGAATGAACGAAAAAAGTGATGTGTAACGTTTGGATATGAACAGAGTGGACTTGGAGATAACTTTGCCGTAAACAAATATTGTACAAGGCGACTGTCGGCGAGTTCAGCATCAGCTGTCTCACGTTTTGACTCAGCGACAGGAAAGCCCTGTCTTTCTTGCAATCGATTGACGTTTACACGGCCGCAGTCACTGTCTAGCCAACTGTCGACCATCAGGTGTTAACATTTATATTGCGTTAGTAAATGTTATTATCATTTCATCAAATGCTTACAAAAACTACCAAATCCCTAAATTATTTTCTATAACTCTATTTAATCACATTTTTGTATTGTTTTTGCCTTATTTACGAATTTTCAAGTCTTTATTCAATATTGCTGATCGTCTCAAATCGCGAAAACCCTTCAAGATGGAGGAAATATCACCCAAGCCTTGAAAAACAGCAACTTGGTGCCTAAGGCAACGGCTCAAATGCCGGGCTTTGATCTGCACTGAACAGGCTTCGAACCGAATTTTGACGATGCATACAATTAATGTTGGGGACTTGCCGTAGATCCTAAGTGTGACTGCGGAATGGAACAGACCATGGGTCATATTTTAAGTTGTAACGGGTATGGTTTTACTGACCGGATGTCTTAACGACATCCGTTTACTTAAAGACAACGCCAAAGATTGGCTAGAGAATTGCATCTTCATATTGTAACAGTGTATATGTGTGTGTCTTGTTATTTTATATTTAGGTTAAAACCATTTTTTTTGTAGTCTGGATATAAAAAGCAAAATAAATCAATAAAATAAAAAAATACATTATAATATATTTTCTTTAAACAAAGTACCTGTTACCTCAGAAAAAAAGTACAACTGCGTGTGGAACATCACAAGTTCAAAATAAAAAAGTGCATGATTATTAGAGTTTCATTTATAGTAAGCAAATAACTGTGGATTATTTGTTTTAAATAGTAGGTTCCTACATTCACAAGGTAATCTTTGTTTTAGTAACGTTATAAATATTTAAATACAATATAACAATGACAATAACATAAGGTGGTTAATAGGAGAATAACATACAGAGATGCGATATAGCAGCTCTCAATATATAACGTATAACATTCATTGTGATCTCACTTCTAAGCCCCCAACCGGAATAGAAACCTGGTAGTATTAGTACTCATTTGAGAGAATTTCCATCTTGCAAGAAATACACGTCTCGCAAAGAATAAACACAGCGCCTTCTCCCTTGAAGTATCAATTGGTTTTCACGGCAGCCGTTCGTTCACAAATATACTGTTCCTGTTCATATCTGCGCCAGTAGAGCTAAATATAATGTATCTATAATTAGGGAGTTTCATTAACAGACTAAAGATCAAACAAAAATGGAAGGCTTTGAGTAGTGAATACTGAAGCACATTCAATGAAGCACGCAGCTATGAAATCAAGAGCTTGAAATACTCTGTACCAATCCTTTTTTTCATGATACCTATTTTTTTCTTGTTTGCCTTTCAAGTAATAAAATTCATTCCTTTAGGTCCAATTTCATATATAGAATTCACAATATTTACTCCCCCAAATATTCTATTCCATTTAATCTTTTCCGTAATACTGTCCTGAAGTACCACGCCAAAATGACATGCCAATTCTTACATCAAATTCTGCACTTAATTACGCCAATTCGATTGAAGTGTTCTATTAAAACTTAACGCCATCACTCAAGAACATATATTTTCTGCCTGGTTCATTGATTTCTGTACGTCTTCTCAAGTCGGCACTCTTCATGACATCAAAACATTTCCGACCGTCTATACATATTGTCTTAACAACAAATATTGACGAAATATAACAGCTAATTAGGACTCGTTACAATTATGTATTATTCTCACACACTATTTTGTTACAATTTCCCCTTCATAAGTATATGAGGAGGAAGGGGGTTCAGGTTTTCTCATGATTGATTCATTGTGTAGTGATTCAGAGGACGCCAACTACCAGGGACATTTGCCCCGTTAGTGCAATGCATTTTTTTGCTTGGGAGATGGCGATGATGTTTTTCCCGCTGTATAGCGAGATCCGGCGCCGGCCTACCGCGAAATAGTTTTTCCCAACTAGGTATATCCCACCAGCGGGACACCGCCCCAGCCGGGGCCAGCTCTCTGCTCCCGACGGGTCTTCCTGTATATGTGGTAGTATAGTGCCTGATAGTGCAAGTGTATGTGTAAGGCGTGAGGATAGGACAAGGGAGAGGAAGGCGAGAGCGCGAGTGGTCCGTGGCCCGTTCGTTAGAGTACTGGTCCGACAATCTCCTGTGGTTAATCGGAGAATCCACTTACGGATCAGTGCAGCCGGCCGCTAGAATTCTCCTCCAAACAGCGACTGAACTCGACCTAGCTAACAAGCTAATGTTGAAAATCCTGCTGCCGTCGGGACTCAAACCTAGTACTTCCCGGTCAGTGGGACTGCAGTGACTTTAGTTGATGCCCTGGGCCATCTCTCCCGGTGTTTTCTTATGACATTTTTCGTAGTGATCAGCTAGGAATGTCATATCTGTACTTCAAATTCCACATCTATTTTTGAAATCACGGCTTGTTATTTCGATATACTCTACATATAATTTACACGATCCTTTCTTACGAGTTTGCACTGGTATATCAGCAGATCAGCTGGAGAAATAAAAATGCACTCAGCCTTCATGCGACGTGGTTATGGCGGTTGTGTAAAAACGAGACCGTATGAAAGGACGTGAAGAAAGATACAGTGCGCAGTGCAAAAAAGAAAGGCAATCGACATCGGTTCGCTGACTGATTTATTAGTGTAGTGATGTTTATGTCGTGGGAGGTGGCGGCGGCGGCCTTCCCCCGCTGAATGGTGAGATCCGGCGCCGACCTACCAGTCGGCGTGCGGGGGTTTCCCCAACACATCCGGCACTGCCTCAGTAGGGACAAACGACCGGTCTTACCACAACTGGTCTAGTGTAGAGAATGAGTAAGTGCGTGTACGTGAGGATAGGACAAGGAAGATCGCGCACGGTCCGTTGCCCGTTTGTTAGATTATTGCTCTGGTATTCGCCAGGTGTCGATCAGAGAAACCACGGAATACTACCGGCCAGAACAGCAGGCCATTATACTTCTCCTCCAGACACTTGCTGAATTCGACCTAACTATCTAGCGAGTGTTGAAAATCCTTCCACCAACGGAAATCGAACCCTAGGACCTTCCGTTCAGAGACTGCAGTGACATCAGCTGATGCTCTGTGCCACCTTTGGCGCTCAAACCCCATCGGCTTTACTTAGTGATTGAGTACGCCTCAAATATTTGTAGGAAATGGGCTAATTTCGATCACGATCATTAAGTCCTTATTTGACGCAGCAAGTAATTCCATATACAGGACATTTTGAAGGTTTGATACCACCTACCAGATATCGTAGGTAGGGAGTCATTTACATTGTAACTTTGTATAACGTGTTTCTTATATGTTGTGACAATTTCTGCCACATATAAGTAGTATTTTTTTCTTTTCTTGTTTAAAAGAAAAAATATCATCTCTTTACTAACGTTTAATATTTTTCTTCCGTAATATGGTCCCAGATACAACTTCTGCCAAAATTTATTTTATTTTCGGTTTCAGATGGGGTTAGAAATTCATGAGACTTCTGATAGAAAAGTTAATAATACTTCCGTGACATAGCGATGTGGTCTACGTTATTGATTTGTTCTTATAACGATAATCAAAAATAAATTACATCTTAATTTTATCTTGCTGCACTATACCCTTCCTATTCATTGCCTATCGTAGTAGGGAGTGATTATGTTGCTTATTTCTCAAAAGAGTGAGCAAAGTGCGAAGTGCAAGGGTCGTAACTTTGAAGACCCGGTCACGTCACAAATTGCAAGGCTTTTGTTTCAGCCATAAACCCCAAACATCAGCAAGCACGGTTGAATTATGGCAATGGGACATTTGCTAAACATGGAATTCTAACATTGTTGAGTTTGTTCGCGACTTTAATACAAACGCGTTTGGAGCATTGCTAGCAGCCTCGCGTTCACACGATGAGCGCGCCCAATTGCAGTGTTTCTGATTTCGTGCCGCACGTAACTCGCAGGCAGTTCCAAGAAGCTCATCAGGACAGTTTTCGCTCGCTGCTGCAGCGACGGTGCAGCTTTTGGCAGCCCTCTCTCGTCACGTCTACCAAATGAGCGCCCCAAATTCCCCTCACAGATGACTGCATGCCAGCCATAATAATCTTAATTAGCGCTTTGGCATTTCAGATAAGAGAAAAAGAACGATCTTACAAGGAGTCTTCCATTGAGCTGTGTATGACTGAACTGGTATGTACAGGAATTTCTCTTTTGTGCAAAAAATATCTTTGCCACCCCGTATCTTAGGACATGTATTAAAATATAGTAATATTCCACTGTCGAAATGCAAGATAATTAATCAATATTGTTCGCCTAAGACGACAATGCAACTATGGTATAAAGAAGTGCATTAAAAAGTGTCTGAAAAATCTTTGTATGTGTTGATTGAAATTAGGTCGATGTATTTACTTGCATACAATATTTAAAAATCATTAAAAAAGGATGCTCTCAACTAAACGTATGATGAATAGTCCATTTTTCCACCATCCGTGTTAATATTTAACGTCAAGTGTTTAAACATCTGTATGCATTTTATTTTAAACTTGCATTAATGATATCAATTCAGTTGTCATTATAATGTGATATACTTTGTGGGAAGTCCATTCACATTTATTAACAATTCAATTTCTTACCCTGAAAATCCAATTTTAGATCTTGGCATTAACTTATAAATAAAACAAACATAAAAGGTAATTAACATTTCTCCACTCACCGCTTAGACATGTGTTAGAGGAGACAGTGTTAGAGGAGGCTGACTTAAATTTTTGAATACGACGAACTTGTCCCGTTTCCAGTTCAGCCCCAACAACCTTTTCATCCCCCAGCGTCGCCCTTCGACGCCAACCGCCCTTCCTTCCACTCGCCCGCGCGCCCTAGCGTCTCTCGCAATCACCATAGCTCTTCCATATCGCGCGCCGCATCGTCCGCGGCCCCCAGCAAATGGACGCCACTCCACATCGTTGGCTCTGCCCGCTGGTCCCCGCTCCCTCGCCTCGCGGCGGCCACGAGCGGGCGACAAACGCGCGGCCATTGCAGCGCAACAAAATTTTTGGCTCTTGTGTGAGTGCATAAACGCTTTAAAGGTATGTATCTTTTTAGTTGGCTACAGAGTTTGATGCAAATGCTTATGTTACTCATTCGTAGTAGGCACTGGGAACTGAGTGCAATCGTGTTTCTTGACTACGATATCAAAAATCACATTTATAGTGTATAGAATACCTGAATCTCCATTACAACCAGAAAATGTCTGCTCCATTAAGTCGAACCTTGGACAATAATTTCAAAGAAGTTCCTTGGTAAAAAATAGGACTGAGAATAAAATTGCCGATTAACCTAGTTGAGTTATATATCAAAAGAGAAAGATCTAATACTCTGACCATGTTTAAAAGTATTATTATTATTATTATTATTATTATTATTATTATTATTATTATTATTATTATTATTATTAAAGTGTGCGCCAATCTCAAGTGGTGAAGAATCAATATCACTTTATTTGTATGAAATAATTGAGTAAAATAAGTCTGACTGTTTGAGCAATTTTTATTTCTATATCTAATTATTTTAATCATTCATACTAATGTTTTTATAAAATAATTTGAAGTAACATTTCTTCTGAATACGTTTTTACGAATATACAAAGGGTCAGCCATAACTCTAAATAGGGGTAAGGGTATTTGTTTTGGTTATGTAACACTTTCTTTAACATATATTTAAACATTTATTAAAATACTTTCTGGAGTATAGCACTAAACCATTAAAATATTGACTAATTAATTTGTTTTAAAACATAATTAAAGTTGTTACAATAAATACAAGTATTTTATCAATTTTTATTGAATTTGTAAGATTACGAAAAAACTATTCAAAACTGATCGGTAGTATATTTTTAGAATGGAATTAAATTGCCGCAGTATACTCTCGCTCATGCGCCATCCGCAATGGCACGTGCACGGCTTGTGTGCAGGAATTTTCTCGCCTATGCGTTCTTCCTTTACTCTTACCTGCGCCCAATCGCAACGCCCAGTAATTCTCGCTTTAATTAACGTACATTTTAATTCATAATCAAAATGAAATAAATACAATTTTTACTGTGCTATAATTTATTTTCACTTTTTGAATTTACAAGGGGGGGGGGTTGTTGCATGCGTTACGTCATTATTTAGAAGAGTTCAAGTGCTCGTTACGGGTGCGATACAGGGGAAGAGGGATTATTCAAAATACTCCAAAATTGCGTTACGCTATAGATTTTTTGTCAATAATGTATTTTAAAGTAAATGTATATCGCCTACCGGGAGTTAAGAATTAAATTATGTTTGTCCATTAAGAGACTGTTTTAGGTAACAAAACGAGGGAATTACAGAACATATTTTCGAAACGTATTTTCGAAAACAGTGAAAAATTTCGAAATTCAAATGAGAATAGTTGGTATGTGAAAGTAAATATATTAAATACTTTACAGAAACAGATACAATTGTTGCATTAATATCGTAATTCAATATCGTGGCAAATTTGAATCCAGGGTTGGCTAGAAGCCACTTGTTTGCAGATAGCAGTAGCCTCTGTTTTTCAACCTATTAAAGGTTTCATGAAATTGTACTGCCAACTAAAATACTTTATATTTAAGCCAAATGGGGACAATGTAAATTATATCATTAAAATAAAATATTTTTCTCTCCGAATTTTTAAGATTTTAAATATCACAATGATTTTTTTAAATTATTACTGTCGGATCATTATGATCCTTGAAATATTCCAGGACAATACAGTTCATTTTTTGTTAATCTTAACATTACTGTTAAGAACATAAATCCGGTATTAATTTATAACATTTCGTAAAAGTGATTCTAAGTACAAGTATCCTCTCTACAATATCAAATAAATACCCTTGTAATTAAAGAGAATAGTTATTTTCATATTAAGTGGATGAAGTTATTGTGTTTGCACGATCGAGATTGAGGGATCGACAGACCGTTATTTTGCCGAGAACATACTATTTTATACGATCGTATAAAATGATTATATTATGAATCATAATTTGTTTCCACTCTTCTAGTGTTTATTCAAAAAGAACCCCACCTTCGTTAACGTTCGTATAACTAAAGGCCGTGGTTTCGCGACATAAGGTAATGGCTCATTGTTGTTCCATAGGAGTTTCTGTTGTGTTACTGGTACATGATGGTAACTGGTACATGATAAATTAGAATTGATTACCCATCATTCCTCACGTATTTTCGAAAATAACTTTTAATTGGTTGTGAAATCGGTATACATTAGAGTTTATACTAGCTTCAAAATACGAGCAGAAGTCATGGCAAACTATTTTTTATTACTTGGAACTACTTACTACTTTTTACTCGCCTTGCGAATACTTCTAGAGAAGATAACGTTATGTAATCGTGCGCCAAAAAAGGGAGATTTTTTTATAAAAGAAATGTTATCGGATTCCAGATTTTCATTTGTAGCGTGAACGAAATCTGCTGTAGGGTACGTTCACATCAACTGATGGCTCTGAGAGAGTCTCTATTAGCACAAAGAGCAATGTGAAATCAGTCATCTGACTGTCGCCGTACGAGATGAATGTAACCTGTTTCGAGCAGCGCTCTTATTCCGAGATACTCGTTCGCCACGACAGAAATGTCCGAGAATGTCACCGGGGATTGGTGGAATGCTCTTTCATGTCGGTCAGTCGTGAGATGGGGAGGAAAGTTTCTGTGAGGTCGCGTAGCAACTAGTGATCAGCAACGCACGTGAAAACCTGTAAGAAGGCGGACCGCTGTAGCACGTGCGCTTATCGGAACACATTTTTACAACGATAGAAGTAAAAAAGTATTAGGTGATATTCAAATAATCACTTCAATAACTGTAAAAATTACACTGTATACTCTGTTCTACGTATTGTGAGCTTCAGACAGAAGATCATTGCCAATACTCATATGCACATTAACCAATTCATTTTTCAATGTGTCGTTTTCATTGACGAATTAATTAGCCTAATAATATTTTGCACTTGAAATATATCCTCTGAATAACACTATTCCCCTAGCATTTTGAATTTGTCACGTTTTTGTGGAGCAAGAAAGGTTGAAATGTTACAATATTAGGAGAAAAAGTGATGATAAGGAGGGATAGGTTGTTTCTTTTACTAGTTTTCTCAACCATTGTGTTTCAAAGATATCAACATATCTGCAATTGTCGTTTCGAAATAAAACTCTTCATTTTGTAACAAACAATTGGAACAAGATAATAAAGAAATTATTATAATTGTTTTTAAATTTCCTCCTTTAATTTATATTCCGAGTAAATTAAAATTTTTAACATTTAATATTTTCACATTTAATAAACATTGAAGAACACGGATTAGAAGCCGACACTGACAAATTACATTATATTATCTTCCACCAAATCGTGAATAAGGAAGAAGTGGCCCTGAACTGTGCTTGGATCCAACCTGGTTGAAGGACTGAGGGTGAGAAGCAAGCATAATTTTCCTCAAAATACCGACATATCTTTAGTATACAGATACAAAATGTTTATCACGTACATATCCGCAGACAGAAACCACAGAGAGTGACAATTTGGGGCCTTTATCTCCAATAATTGTTTTAATTTGCATTTGAAATGTTTTATAAGAAAATGAATAAAGAATACTATGTGACTGAGTGACCGGACTTTGAGAATAATTATTCAGAGAAAGATAAATAGATTGTGTGTTTTGTTACGGTTAATCCTGTCTAATTATCCTCTTTTGATTTAATTTATTTTTCTCAATTTTTATTAAAAGAAAATCCCCCTCTGAAGAGTCGAGATTTTCTAGATAGACACTAGTGAAAGTGGTTACTTTTGGAGTATGTTGACTGTGCTAAAAGATAGACGATACTCAAATGTTCATATAAAACTGGAAATGCGACAAGGAAAACAAAATACTTATATCTGGCCAGCTTCAACTGATCTCAATGTAAAACTGTACCCAATTAAGTTATCTGCATGCATGGATTAAAATAAAAGGAAAGTCTGTAAGGCTGTCTACAAATTAGTGAATGACACTCATGGTAAAAGTGATTTATTTTGCTCGTAAGGGTGCGTCACTCGGCCTCGAGTCACAACCTTTCCTACTCGCCAAATAAAATGTCACTTTTATTAGTCGTATCATAGATATTTGTTTTCAGAGCTGGTGTTATTTTTCAATTTTATATGACAATCAGAGTTCAATGTTAACTAGCGTACCATACGTTGGACAAATTCGACTCATAATTATTCAATAGTTATAATAATGAAGGCTTTACCAATTAATAATCATTGAAATCATTCTTATCATTATCATATAACATAAATTAATATATTAGGAAAGGCATGTCTTCAAGATTGTTGGTGACTGAAAATATTTGACACGACGATGCCGACCACATCAGACTGAAGAAAGGAAAACAGAAGATGGAAAGAATAAAGATCTGGAGTTAGAAGTTTAAAATGTAAACAAAATTGTTAGTTGAATCCACACACGCGATAGAGGACCCATTTTGGCAAGGAAGCAAGTGGAGACCAGGTTAAGAGAGCTTTTATTTTTCTTAAAGGGAATGATAGATGCGCATGGAAGTAGCGACAGTACGGCTGCAACACAAAAACAGCGTAATGTGAGATTGAAATAAAACAAAGAAGCATTGGCAAGAAATGCATACAGGCGATATAGAGTAAGAAATAGAAAAATGTTAAGACAGAGATGAATACAGTCAGAAGTAAACAGATATAATTGTTGGATCGAGCATAGCAAGACAGAAAACATAATAATAGTTTAATAAATAATAATTGAAACACAAAAGATAGAGTAAAATTACAGAAACATAGGTTGTAAATAAATAAGTCATGCAGGAACGGAAGGGCAGACACCGATGAATCACAGGCAAGCACTGTGAGAGGCACATACACAATACTTAGAGACAAAAATGGAAGAGAAGTTTTTTATACAATAGGTAAACAGACGAAAAACAGAGAAACAGACAGATAGAGAAATAGATATACAGACAGTCAGGC